GCACACACACTTGTATCTCAGCGTTCAGCAAGTTATTTATCCGTTTTTTCACGCGAGCTTCCCCTTCTGAGCACCAATGAAGTCAGTTAAAACCTGGGCGGGGGGGCAGGAGGAGTGTGTGTGGGCCCCATGCCTGGGCCCGGCACTCACACTGCAGCTGGGGGCACTTGTGGCACTTGCTCTGGCCCCAGGCGGTACCGATGCTCCCGCAGCAGTCCTCCTGCTTGGTGAGGCCCGGCAGGGGATTGCTGCCGCACTAGGGGGGAGTATGGACCGGGTCACAGGGCGCCCAGCCCCCACTCAGCCTCCCTCCTGAGGCTCTTCTCCTCCCTCCTCACCCCGCAGACCCCCCAGTTGTGAGCAATCCCCTTGGGTTGGGTCAGGGCAGCCTGAGAGACGGAGAGACTCACGGGCTGCTTGGGCAGCGTGTCCTGGAAGCAGCGGCCCAGGGGCTTCTGGGTGGGTGGCCGGGGGTGCTGGGGCTTGGGGTGCGGCAGCAGGTGCTGGGAGGGGCCCGGGCCCTCGGCATTCAGCCCCTCGATGCGGTGAACTTGGACAGAGGCCTCGGGCGGGTGGTGGACACGCACGTTCACCACGGGGGGCGGGGCCTGCACTGGGGGCGGGCACGGTGGCCTCAGGACTGCCCCGCACCCGCCTCGGTGGGCAGCCAGGAGCTCCTCCAGGGCTAGCCTCTGCCGGTCACGCCACCCTAGCGCCCGCCCACTCAGGCCGGTCTGTCACCCGGTACCTTCTGCAGAGATCTGTCCCGGCCCCAGGGGCACCAGGAAGGCCGCATGCTGGGCAGGGGGCCCCTCCCCGGGCCCGGGCGGATCAGCGATCACCTGGACTGCGTAGATGCGTGCTTGCTGGCCACAGACTCGCTCTCTGGTGCCAGGGGCGGCAGCGCGCCTGTGGACAGGGCTCCGGCTCTGCCCAGCCCAGGGCCTGAGCCCCCCGTGCCTCCGCCAGCTCCTCCGGCCGGCACCTGGCAGAAGCGACCCGTGAAGTCCGGAGGGCACAGGCACTGGTTTCGGGAGGAGCACTGGCCGCCATTCATGCAGGGCAGAGGGCACACCACTGGGGAGGGAGATGGTCAGGGCTCAGGCAGCCCCACCCCAGCCCCCAGGCCCAGGCCCAGTCCCTCACCCACATCCTGTCCCCCCCCCCCCCAATCATTCCTACTTCCTTGCCACCCACTGGCTCTGTCCTCCTGGAGAACCCACATCCATGGTTTTTGTAACACATCATAAACACACGAAACTGCCCTCTAGGTTCCTCAACATCCTTCTACCCATGTTGGCCTCTGAGCCTTAAGTCTTGGACTTAAATCCTAGCTAGGAGGCCATGTGCCCACTGTGTGGCCCTAAGAACTTACTTCCTCTCCCTATGCCTCTGTCCTCATCTGTAGGATGTGTCTATTAAATTAGGTGATGCCTGTACAAATGCTTAGCACAGCCATAGCTGGTCTGGCTCAGTGGATAGAGCATCAGCCTTTGGACTGAAGGGTCCCAGGTTCAATTCCGGTCAAGGGTACATGCTCGAGTTGTGGGCTCAGGGTTGTGGGCTCAATCCCCAGTAGGGGGCGTGCAGGAGGCAGCCAATCAATGATTCTCATCATTGACGTTTCTATCTCTCTCCCTTCCTCTCTGAAATCAATAAAAAAAATTATATTTTTTTAATGCTTAGCACAGTGCCTGACACAGGGTACTTAGTAAGTAGTAGCAAATGGCGATGGAACAGCCTTTTCCTCTTCTGGCTTTGCTCTGCCTTTCCTGGAAAGCGATCTGTACCTGCACTTCCTCTTCTACAGTCTCCCTTTGATTCCGGCCTCAGCCCTCTCTGGGCTCTCCCTCTCCCTGTCCCTCTCCCTCCCTCCACCTTGCCATCCCAGGGCCCGCACTTCACCACTGCCAACCATGCCCACATCTGTAGCTACAGCTCCCTGGGACCTCTCTGGGGCACCTCCACCCAGGGGACACTGTCGGATATCATCCTGACTGCCCACCTCTCTGACCTTAGACCACCAGCACTCCCTGCCTGCCCTGGTCACTCATAGCTGAGCCTGGAGGCCCATCTCTCCTGCTCATGAGTCCATCTCCCCTCCTCCCCCTGCCCTCTGCCCCTCCCTTGCTTTGAGCCTTGCCACAGACTCCTGGGCTCCCTGCTTCTCTCCTGCCTGTTCACATCCCAGCACCCCTCTCCTCCCCTCCCCCACCCCAAGCCAAGCCCTTGCCTTGTCACACCCCTGCTCAAGGCTGTCTTCCGTGCCGGGACATTTAAGGCTCTCCATGACCCAGAACGAACTTTCCTTCAGCCCATCCCCTCTGCATTTTCCGTGTGTACCCACCCCATTCCGCAGGACTCACTCCCACTACAAAGAAGCCACATCCGCTGCCTCCAGGGATTTATTCATGCTATTCCCTCCACTTCAGAGCCTCTCCCCCATCTCTGTATATCCCCATCTTATCCCTCCAGCGTCAGTTTCTTCTCCTCACATCCCGACCACCCTGTGCCCTCTCCTGAGTTATCACCCTCTGCTCCAGCTCCGCCTGGCACGTGACTTGGCTATCACTGTCATGTCTGTCTCCCACACAATAAAGGCGCTTTGAAGCCCAGGGCCAGGTCTGCCTCAGCTCTGGGCTCCAGAAGAGGTGCAGGGGCATGAATGGAGTGACTGAGTGAGAGGACAGGGCCTCGGTCTCTCTACCACACACACTCACATCCCAACCCGACATCCAGCCTTGGGGCCCTGAGCTCACGCACTGGACCCAGCCCCTCTCCTGCCTGCCCCACGATGCCCTCACTGTCCAGAGGGGAAGGTGGGGTGCTGCTCTCCTGGACACCTGGAGGGCCTCAGAGGGTCAGCTCACATCCATGGCCATCAGGCCTGGCCAAGAGCATCCCAGCCCATCCCATCCTGCCTGGTCTCTTGGGGCCAGGACTTTCAGGGCAGAAGGGGTGTGTCTGGGGCCGGGGGAGGCAGGATCCTCTCCTTCCTGCCTCCCAGTGAGTCACCCATAGCGGTGAGGGTGACCTCCCAGTGACACCCGCCCACTGAGGCCTGGGCACCAAGCCGGGGGGATGTGGGCAGCAGGGATGGAGACAGCAGCTTGGGCAGGATGGCCAGGGGGCCTGGGGGGTCTGGCCCACATACACTCATGCACAGTCATCTTGTCTTACACATTCATGGACTCATTCTGACACCAACACAGGTTCACATCAACACTCCCACGGTGACTGGAGACACGCACCCAAGAGGACAGCACAGAGAACATGTACTTAGTCACTGCGCCACACCGAGGCCCATGTGTGGGCCTGTCTGCCAGGTGCACACACACACATGCACACACCTGAGAACTGGGAACCATGTCAGCGAGTGGGTCTGAGTACAGGCGTGTGTAAGAGGGGCTGTTTTGCTAGTGCCATCCTGGGCCCAGCCTAATTACCCTGTCCAGGAGGTAATTACTGCCGGGACACCTCCCTCTGCCTGGCCCGCAGGCCCCGGGGGAGGAGAGCTGAGCCCCAGGCCTGGCCTTTGAAAAGAGATGCCGGGAAGGGGTGGGCTGCAGGCAGAACTGGGGAGTCATGAGGGCTGGTTGGCAGGGAGGCCGAGGGCCTCTGAGGCAGAGCTGTTAGAGCTCATGTCCTCCTTAAGGCACAGATGGGACACCAGGAGAAGGAGGGGTGAGGACCAGACCAGCCCGTACCCCAGCCCTGCAGCCCACTTGTTGGGCCTCAACACCCCTCCCCCTCCCAGACTTCCCAAGAACTGAGTCTCTCAGCCTAGCCCTGACCTTAGCTCCTCCCCCCAGAGAACGCAGGTGTCTACCCCTGGCAGGCCTGACTTGAGACATTTTTAATGACTTTTCCTGTTTCCTCCAGCAAATCTGCTTCTTGGGGGAGTATGTACCCCTCTCTGAGGTCTCCTGCCCCAACTCACACCCCTCAACGCCGACCTGACTCCTCTCAGAACCCAGCACCTTCCTAGAGTCTGTGCCAGCCAGGACCCCAGCGTCCCCCACTCCTCACTCAGGCCTCAGCCCTAACCCAGCGCTGCGAAGTCCCCGCAGCCTGCAGCGCCCCCCCCCCAATCTCAATATCCGAGACTGCTGGCTCTTAACCACTTGCCTGCCTGCCTGCCTGATTGCCCCTAACTGCTTCTTCCTGCCAGCCCGATCGTCCCCAACTGCCCTCCCCTGCCAGCCTGGTCACCCCCAACTGCCTTCCCCTGTAAGCCTGATCACCCACCACTGTTTATCCACTTAAAAAGTGGCCACATATGGATGTCCTCCCTTCCCAGGCTGGGTTAGGATGAAGAATGTGTAATGTCTGGAACCAAGTTTCCAACTGCTGACCCCGACCGCCCCTGTTGTATTGGCGGCCGTATGGGGCCATACGGTTTGGTGCGTTGATGGACAAGGTGGTACCGTGATATTCTAAGAGCCAACTCTACACTCATCTCGATAATCTGTTCGGAGTTGGCCTAGGGTGTAAGGAATTATGTAATGAGTGGCATTCGAAGTATACTGTATACTTTTAGGCACTTGCAGATTCCCAGCTGCGCGCGAGTAAAGAGA